AGTTTTCTCTACTGGTTGTTTTAGGAATAGCAGTGTTAGAAACTAATTGGTCAAACAACATCATCAAGCCATTGTTTGAAGAATCCTTCCAAATTAACATCTGCTACAACACATCTTGTCAGTTTAATTCCATAAACCTGCTTTCTTATATTCATATGACATGCTTTTACATCCTGAGGTTATTACAAGAAACTACATCATTTATGCAGATAACAAAAGTAGGTATTCAAATACTAAACCTTGTGGCATTCCACTTCACACTTAGATGAGAATACTCTGAGATTCCTATCGGCTTAGTTATATAAGAGTTTTATAAACTGATAGTGAATGTTCTATAATACTGTTAGAATATATGAAATCTTAAAATTTAGCAATTATTGTTGTTACTGTTGTGCTGCATTGTAGGCCTAATATGATACAGCCTAGGAAACAAACACAGACAACAGGTAAAGAAAAGCATTCTGGGATATTGCACACTTGTTGAACATCTTCATAACTAAATGTGTTTTTACTCTTCTTACTTTTAAGATACAACCAATATAGAATTATTGCATTAAAAAACATTTTATACACTGAGTGATTCTCACCTGTTCTGGATTGACAAACTATTGTACCTGGTATGTATATTTAGATCTTACTACTTTTAGTGATTCTTCAAAACTTTTCAATTGGCTTATTGTAAGTAATATTCCTCATTTCTTAAAGCACAGTTGCACAGACACCAAAAATTCAAAGTGATTTCTTTGCTCTAATCTGTAATAATCACTAATAATCTGTAGTGTACTTTTTATCAGACTACCCTGAAGAAGAAACCTGGAACAACTATATCTGTTTCATACAGGTGCATATTGTCAATTTGTAACATGAGTGGGAATTCTTATTTCCAGGAATGACTCTCCAAGACAAAAGAATTATAATGTACTAGTAGCAGACATATTTTAAGTTACTGAAGTGAACAAAAGCTATTTTGTGGAGCTAATTCTATAATCTTTTGTATGACATATAGGTCTTGGAACAACAGTGTTTGTATGACATATAGGTCTTGGAACAGCAGTATTTGTATGAAATATAGGTCTTGGAATAGCAGTATTTGTATGATATATAGGTCTTGGAATAGCAGTGTTTGTATGACATATAGGTATTGGAATAGCAGTGTTTGTATGACATATAGGTCTTGGAACAGCAGTATTTGTATGACATATACATACTGTGTATGTTTTATTTCCTTGGAAGTTACAGTTTTTAGGAATATCTCTCCAAGACAAAAGAATTGCAGGGTAAAAATAGTGCTCCTCCTCTAGAAAAAGAACCTTAAAACCTTTCAGTTCTAGACCTGTTTGAAAAATAATTTCCATTTCAATAGTAACATGTTTCAGTATTTATGATTCTATTCTCTAAACTTGTAAATGTTTAGTTGATCTTTTTATAATATTTTTCTATAATAGAAAGTGTTTGTGTAATTTACGTACTATATCTTTTTTAATTTCTTATGGGGAAGAATTAGCTTATTATGAAATGTAATGTAACCAGTAATAATACTGGGCATCATGAGACGTAGATTGATTGCCTTGTATCTTTCAAACATTGTCCTTTTTATTCTAGGTTTTACCCATTCCTCCTGAATTGGACTGGACTGCACATTTATAGAAGTTGTTTTTAGTTTTATTAGTACAAGTTTTGCTAAATTAGGCTAACCATCCATGATGAAAATTCTATTTTTAATATAAAAATCATGCTAAGAGCCTCTTGGAAGTTGGAGATGCAACTATAACTGAAAGTTAAAGTTTGATTTACATATGTCCAGAGTTGGCAAGTTGGCCAATTGACCACTTATTTTTTGACTGGTCAAAAACTGCTCAAATATGGTCAAATAGTCTAACACCCTTTTAGTAAATACTGTAAATATCCATGTATTAGCTAAGTGTTTTTGATTAATTTTAGGTCCCAAATTTCTTCCTCTCTTTGAAACATGTAGGTGAGTTTTATAATTACACCCTTACTTACATAAATGACTTAGTGTTAAATCCAAACAATAAAAACACTACTGACTGTGTTATTGCGTAATATTTTTTACAGTTTTATATTTTGTAAATATCTATATACTAGTGTATAGCCCATCAAAAATTAGGGGGCAAGTACTACCACCCCCATAGTATACCCTATCCTCACAATAGCTAACTGAAATAATTAATTTCGAAAAATCAAGATTGTACAACAAAGAGGCAGAAAAGTGCAGTCAAGGCAGTGAAATGTCAGTAAATTCGTAATATAAGCGTAAATATAATTATTTGTACATGCTCTTTTAAATTCTTCATGAAATTATCCTGATTTACCAGAGCATTTTGTGAATTGTCACTCGACCTATTATATGCATTTAAATATTCTAATAGTTCCTTTTTAAAATTGTTTTCTGTAAAGTTAGTGATCTTAATATGGTGAACAATTCTGGCATATATGTAGTCAACTGTTAACCAATCATTTAACACACAATTAAGTCAATTCTGGAGAAGATCACATTAAGTTCAAAACTATTAACCAAAAGTTATATACTAAATAATAATGACATGCTAAAGTTACTTGTTAGAAAACTATTTGGCAGTTATTAAAATCTGAAGTTTCATATTTGAAACATTTTATGTCCAACTTAAACCAACAGTCAAGTTACTGCAAATTCAAAAAGTTGGATAAAGTGAACAATTTTATTTTAACAATTTGTTAATTCAGTGGCTTATTACCACAGATACAAACTTTAGCACCACAAGTGTTTAGCACGTGTATAACTGATGCATGGCAAATTCCTGATAAATTTGACACTGTAGTGTCATTAGAAGTAAACTTGTGTCTGGAAGCCTTAAAAAAGGTCTTTTTTTGTTGTTATTTTAAAGAAATGTTCTTATAGTGAGGTTCAGTGAAGAAGGGTCTTCACTGCCATTTGTAGAAGTTATAAAAGTCTTGCACAGCAAATCATTTAGGAAAACATTGGGCACTCAGATTACATTCTAAATCATCTGTAAAGTCTGTCTATATAAAAGACAGTCACTTATTCTAAAGAATTATCATGAAGTTTTATGGTTTGTGTGTTTTGTCTTCTATTGTTGCTGTTTTTTTGGGAAAGGTGATGGCACTATTGTGGATTGTTCATTTTGATCTGAATAAAATATTTTAAGAGGTACTACACAAACAATATTATATATATGTTTCTTATGGCACAGGGGAAAATATTACGTATTGAAGCCTGTTATAGTTTGTGTTTTAGCATATACATTGTAGGTTTTACTTAGATGACACAGGGATATTGAGCAAAGAACTTTTTAGAACTGTAAAATAATTGAAAGGTAGTTGAAATGGGAAGCCTATAAAGAGAAACCATTCATTAGAAAACTTAATTATTAACTCAATTGGTTTACATGATTTCAATATTGGCTTAGCTTTTATTGATACTGTTCTCCAAAACACTTTAGGAGTTTCTTACATGTTAGTGTAATTTTCTTTGTCTTTTTTTTTCCAATTGACTTTTTTCCCTTGTTTTTGTCACCTAGATTCGTTTTATCAAACCTAGTATGATATAATACTTTGCTAGTTAAGAAATGATACATATACACCATACAACTTTAAATCAGATTTTGATTATTACATTTTTACAGTCTAAAAAACTGCAAAGTAAAATATATGGATGTTAAATCTACATGTTCCTAAAAGTTGAGTTAACAAACTTTTCTTTACAATTAAGTAGTGAAAAAATAGATCTGTTAACAAAAAAGTTGCTAGACTGGCCTCTCTACTTATAAAATTTCAGTGAATTACATTGTTTACCAAAAAAAAGTGCTGGTATGAGCTGGTTTAACTCAAAATTTTAATACTTGTCATGATACCAGTGATGATTTACCTATTCTGTAATGTGAACAGATATTTCTCTCTAAAATAAGTTACATGTAATGCAACCATGAGTAAATAAATTGTATGTAAGGTAAACCTTGTGCTTTATATAGACCAGAATGTTAAATGACTCAAAGCAATAATACTCCATTAAGTTCTATTTTTATTTTTGGAAAACTTGGACATTCTCGAAAAAGTGTAATTTTCTGACCTAATGGTTTATTCATTATTGAGAAATATTTTTGATTGCTATTTTGATTGTTGATGGTTGAAAAACTGTTAATGTATGTTCAGTTCATACAATGTGTATAAGCAGGCATTTCATAGCCTGTTTGTTCAATGTCCATTGGAGAGGCATTTTGAACACTGAATTAAGATTTTTAATATGTTTCTGTTTCATTTTACTTTTAAAAGGCTGTTGATAAGTCTGAAAATCAGAAAGTTATTATAGATATTGAATGCAAACTATTCATGCAGAATATTACTCTTTCTCAAAATATTTCTAAGTGGGCTCTAAGTGCATTTACCTGTCTGGATTATCCCATTTTTTATAGTAACTTAACTCTATACTACTTATAGTAATTTTCATTCAGTCTTCTCTTAAACTCTTTTTTACCACACCTGAAGGCAAACTGTTCCAAAGATTGACCATCCTAATATTATATTATAAAAGTAACACTATCTGATTTGAACTTGTGTCCGAGTTTTTGACATCTTAAATCTTGTATCCCCCAGTCATTACCTGCATAGTTTTAGATGAAAACACCTTGAAATTTTTCCAAATCCTTCATCAACAATGCAACATACTTTCTTAAATAAAGTGAACAAAATTGTAAACAATTTTCCAAACGAAGCCTAAAAATAAAAAAGTTTCAAAATGTGGAACATAGCTATTATTCTATCCATGAATATAAATATAAAAGTTTGTTTTCTATAGAACATTTACTAGATCCTAATGTTATTGTAAATTTTTATAAAGTTATTAGGATTCATTATTTATATAACCTAATCAGCATAGATTTTGATAACTCAGCACTCATAAATATTAATCTTAGTTTTTTCTGTCAATTAAGGCTCTTCAGTATACCAAAGATATTTGTAACTAGTATGTTGTTTCTTTTTAGTTACAGCAAGCAGGGAAGCCTTAAATACCAGACAGACTGTGCTCCAAACAATGGATACTACTTAATTCCTTTATATGACAAGGGGGATTATATATTAAAAATTGAGCCTCCTGCTGGATGGGGCTTTGAACCTACAACTGTTGCTCTTCACGTGGATGGAGTAAAAGATGCTTGTAGCCAAGGAGAGGACATTAACTTTGTTTTTAAAGGTTTTTCTGTATTTGGAAAGGTACGTACATCAACTGAATATTATCCAAGCAATTACAGTTTCAAATTTAAGTCTTCTTTCACTTTATTTAATCCTAAGGAAAAATATGTTTGTATTTACAAACATTTAAGTTAATATATTTCTTTTAATAACTGTGCTCTTTAATTTTTTCTTTTTTCATAATGTAAGTGAATGAATAACAAATGTAAAAAAAATATATGTTGAGTATCACTGCATAAATTATACATTATTCACTATTCATTATGGAAAATTTCAATATTAAACTTCATATAAATACTTTTGAATGGTAAGTATTGCATTTTTGTTATATGTATATTTAATTTAGATTGCAAATTAATTTGTGTTGTTAAAATGTTACTAACAAATTATTGTAGATGAAATATTAATGATTTATAATTAATAACAAATACTAGATACTTTATAGGGTATTTTAAATAGTGATTTCAGACTGAAGAATAGTAGTTTTAAAATATGGTTGATTAAAATGAAATAGAGCTGGGTGATTAACTCAATCAGTATTATTGATTATTATCATGTAAAATTATTGATTAATCATAATTAAACTAAACTGATGAATGTCACAAAAGAATAATCAAAATTAGTGTTACTGATTATGTTTGTTTTCAATTATTCAAACAATACAAGTAATTGAATTATTAACATTATGATCTCTCATTATTATTTTTTCGATTAGTTCAAGTTTGTTCAACTTTGGGTGTCATATCCAAGTGATCAGGGTGATTGCTTTGTGAATCGAGGATTTGATTCTCATTGAGACCAATCATGCTCACCTTTTCAACTGTGGGAGAACCATATTGGTTTTTATTTTAATGATATAGCAATGCTATTAAGGCCACCACCTGTAATTTTGAACTGGGAGTGGTATTGAGTACCTCAACAACTGACAGTGGGTACTGCCATTAGGTTGCCTTCTATTTGGTCAGAAGCTCAAAACTATGGATGGCAGTAGATAGCCTAAATAGCTTTGTTGTAACTGAAAAAACTTGTTCAACTTCAGATATATACCAATTGAACTATTAAACAGTAAGATAGTTAGTACTACTATTATTGGCATGACTACATGGATTTATGCATTCATTTTAATTGTACACAACTGATGAATCTGAAGGTGTGCCCTAGTGGTCATTGGCTACATAACTACCACAGTGATGCCTGTTGTTTGTGTTTACTGTGCTTGGACTAATTGATAGTGTAGCTTCATCATAATATATTTCTTACATATTATAAGCTGTAAACATAACCAATGCTATTAAGGTTAAATTGCTTTAATAAAAAATTATGGCAAGGTTATATTCATTATTCACTTAAATGTTGGCTGCTTAATAATTTGCTCATTTAATTATGTGAGAAGTTACAAAAACTAGACATAGACTGATAACAATCTAACAGTATGTTACACCATTAAGTCTAAACCTATTTACACAAATAGAGCCCCTGTTTCATTAAGACTAGCTCTAGCTAGGTAGAAAGCAATGAAAAGGGAAAATAAAAATCTGACTGTTTTCACATGCCACTTATACACTGCCAATTGCAGTAAGCTTTAAGTTGTTTGGTTTATTGATTTCTCAGCAAGTACAATTTCTTTCAACCTGTACTGTAAAATGTAAACATATTTATCATTTTAGTGTGTTATTTTTTAACCACTGGCCATATTAGCATCTTATCACTTAAAAGCTTATGATATTTTTATGCTTATAAAGTTTTTCATGTTAGTGATGGAATCAGAAAAAAAATATCTGGAAATGTAATAATTGAAGATTTTTTGGTGTTACCTTCTTTTTAATATTTTTTATTGTTTGTCATTATACTGATTAAAAGAGTTTATTGAAAAGATGTCTGTTGATTATTTAGAATTCTTTGGTAGACTTTTTACAGTTAAAATGATTTTACTTTAATAAAAAGTTCCAGTTCTATAGATTCCGTTATTATCCTGGTAAAGTTGTTGATTCATATGATATGGTCTGTGGTTTCTTCATTCAGTTAAGTTGCTGAGGGATAGCTGTAATATGTAAAGATCAGTAAGTGCTTATAGAATCTTAGTTTTCAAATAGTGCTTGGTTTAGGAATCTGTATGTGAGCTATGAGTGAAGGAGTGTTTATTAAAAGAAGTTTTCAATTCTGAAACTAGTGTGGGTGGAATCTGGGAGTTGAATTTTTTTGTCAACCTGTAGATTAGTTTTTAATATGTAAACTTTGAGAACCTACAAACAGAAGACAGATGATGAAAGGAAATTTGGGGACAGTTCATGGTTTGTTACAAGGTTGGAATTTGATGTAAAGGAACTTATGTGTGATGTTATTTGGAAAGTGTGTTGTACAAGCATTTTGTTTTAGAATTTTGTGCATCACAGTAATCTCTTCATGTAGAAAGGTGTAACTAGAGCACAGATTAAAAACTTGGTTTAAAAATGTAATGATTTAACTATTTCTGAAAATAACCAGAATAAAGGTGTCACAGTGTATGTTCCAGTGAAAGTGTTTTGTAACATATAGTAGTAGAAAAGTTATTACCTTCTGTAGTTATGTGGTTTTCAGCAAAGTGATCCATTTTGTTTAAATGAAGTGAATTTAATTTTAGAGTGCTCAGAATTTAAATGTGCTACACCTTTTAGAACATGATAAGCAGAATGAAATAGCAAAATTATGTCATCACTGCAGTACCTGTATAACACTGGTATGAAATCGGGCAAGCAGTTGTCTAACTACATATGTTCATAGTGACACAGGTAACTATTAATCAAGGTTGGTTCAATAGGGGAAACTCCTCTGTTTGGTTGTAAAGGATGTTTTTAAAAGCTAAATTTTTCACTTTAGTGCTAAGGTTGGGGAATTTATGAAATGTTTATAATTGAAACTGTGATGAAGGTTGACATATGTTGGGAAGAGATGGGTGAAAATTATTTCTAAAGTTTCATCCAGGGAAATATTGGTTTAGAGAGATTCAGTATTTAGACTAACCATAATATATTTAGTAGCAGAGAAGATGTTTTGAAATTTCAGAAGCAAACATGAAAGAAATTTTAGTTAAAGCTGAGCAATTAGTGGAAGTTGATAATCAGTTAATTGTTGGATTCATTAATTGATTACATTCAACTAACCTATTATCTTCATATGACAGTTGGGTACTTGGAATGATAAAAATCATAATAATTGGAAACAATGGTTTCAGTTAGTTGAATGCTTTTGTGAGTCATGAAGTTGAACAACCATGAATTAATGTAAATAATAATGAGAAAACATAATGGAAATATTTTGATTATATGGATATATATATATATAGTTCTGGGCAGTGGCAGACAAAATAAATAAGTGCTATTTTTTATGCACTTCCAATATGAAGCTTGTAACGGACAAATTAAGAGGAACTTGGAAAAGTCATCTGCAGTTAAGTATGGTTTTGGTTTGCATGCCAGTGTAACACTTACAAATGATTAATTGTAGTTTTCATCACTGATAGGTTGTAAGCAAAGGTTCTGACAATGGCCCTGCAGGAATCTCCATCTTTTTGAAGACTCTTAATGGTGAACTGCTGCAAGAAACAAAAACAGTTATTGGTGGTGATTATTCATTTTCAGACATTCTTCCAGGAGAATATTTAGTGGAAGCATCTCATACAAAGTGGAAATTAGATAATTATCAGGAAAAGATCACAATATCTCAGGATAATGGTAAAATTGGCAGTGGAATTGTAGTAGGAGGATATGATGTTCGTGGTGAAGTCAGGAGTGAAGGAGAACCCATAAGAGGAGTTCATTTCATTCTCTTCGACCTCAATGATTCCAAGAATATTCTGAAGATACAGGGTTGTGATTCTAATCCTGTGAAAGGGTATAGTATACCAAGTGGAATGAAATATTTGTGTCAGGTGACATCAAGTACTGATGGTAAGTTTGTCTTTCCATCAGTTCCTCCTGGAAAGTACCAGCTTTTTCCTTTTTATAAAGGAGAAAACATTGAATTTGATGTATCTCCTTCAGTAAAGGACTTTACAGTAGAACATGGAAGTGTTGAATTTAAAGAAAAATTTCAAGTAAGTGTATATAGATTGATCCAGTTTAATATATCGAAAATTAAATGTAGCTCAACTAAATAATTTTCAGTGTTATTTTAAAAAACAAAAAACACATTAAATATAAATACCATAATTTTGTTAAGTGTATGTATTAAACACTACCCATAAATGCCCTAATATTTTTACTTTTAGTTTCAATTTCATCTGACTTTTATTTTTTAGAGTAAGAACATTAAAGTTTTTGGGTGTTTGACCATAATCTTTCTCTTCTGTTTTGGTGAAATTATTGCGTTGTTTTTCTTTCATAAGTGTTAAATACTCAAAATACTTCTTTTTTTGTCATCTTATATTTTTTGTATAGTGTATTTGTCTTGCATTAGCTAGTAAACTGTCTCCATTGGTTGGTTTAATGTTTTTGTCATTGAAGTTTTTAGTGTTTGTTGGTTATGTCATTTTATTAATGAGCATACTGTGAGTACTTGAATATTTTGTTTTTATCTGTAAACACTAAAATGAATAGCAAAATATAATGTTAATAATTTTCTTTGTTTAGTTTCTTGCTGTTTCTACCTGATAATTTTTTATGTATTTATTCTTATTTCTAAAGTTAACAGGAATATTTTTCAGTTCATCATGTTAAACTGAAATTTGCTGGTTTCTTAGTTTAATTTCATTAATATTTATTTAATATTAATATTCATATAATTTATTCCTAAATTGTACATAATGGCATATTCCTAATTTGTTTTTAATGAGCAAGAAAGTGTATAGTTTTTTACTAAACTGTTTAATATATTTTTCAGAAACATGTGATATAAAAGAACCCTTTAAGAGCAATCTTCAGTTTATATGTTAACTCTGAAGAATTTTTGTTATATTTCTAATTTTCCTTTCATTTATTTTCATTTGTAGGTTCAGGGATTTAGTGTTAGTGGTAAAGTGTTGACTGGCATCAAAGGAAAGCCTTTAGCAGGTGCAAAAATTCTTCTTGATAGTAAGGAAGAAGCTCTTACTGACCAGGATGGAGTCTATCATCTAGATAATATGAAGGCGGGTTCCTACAGGTTGGATGTCCAAGCTCCTCACTTTGTTTTTGAACCAGTAACTGTGAAAGTGACACCCAACACTCCTGAGCTTCCAGAAGTTGTAGCATCACAACTTGATTTGTGTGGCCAACTTATCATTTCCCATGTGCCATCTGGGGTTATAAGGGAAACAGAAAGAGCTATTTTAGTTACACATGAAAAGAAGAAAGATGAACTGAAAGTAATGACTGGAAAAGATGGAAAATTCTGTTTGCCTGTTACTCCTGGAAAGTACATTTTGACACCTGCTTTGTCAGAAAAAGAACAGTCATCTGGATTAAAATTTGGACCAGCTGAAGTTGTAGTCATTGTTAATGAAAGCCCTGTCTTAGATGTCACATTCTCACAGTTTCGTGGAAGTATAAAAGGAATAATGAAGTGTTTAACTGACTGTGATGGTGTCCAGTTGGCATTGGAAGCTGTGTCTTCTCAAGACCCCACTTCCCAAATAACCATAGTAGACAAGAAACACTTTAGTTTTGAAGGCTTGTTGCCTACTACTTATGAAATCTCTGTAGTTAAGGATGAATGGTGTTGGAAGAAGAAAGTTGAGCTAATTGATGTGGTTGACAAAGATGTAACAGATGTGCAGTTTGAGCAGACTGGTTTTTTGATGCTTGTAACTTCTTCTCATTTCACTGAAGCAGAGCTAGTACATCCATCAGGATCTGTAGAGAAAATTGAAGTGCCTCAAGGTACCAGCATGCACTGTCTTCCTCTATTTGGAGTTTATGGTTTGAAGCCTACTGGTTGCCATCATTTCAAGGAGGAGGTTTTTTGGTTTGACACACTACATCCTTCTACCATTACTCTGCTCGCTTCTAAACATTTGATAGGTGGTATTGTGTTGTCTGAAGAAAATATCACAAATATTGTTGTCTCTGTGCAGAAAGAAAATGATGACAAAGATACAGAAAGAATTATTCTTCAAAACTCTACTATAACAAAAGATAATCTGTTTGAATACCATTTTACTTTTTGGGCTCAACCCAGGTCTAACTTGATCTTAACTCCATTGTCAGAACAAATATTGTTTCACCCACCTTCATTGAAATTTTTTGTTCCTGATGACTGTTCACCAGATTCTGTGAGTTTCAAAGGGAAAACTGGTTTGTTTATCCATGGGAAAGTCATACCACCATTAGAAGGTGTTAAAATAACAGTAACTGAAGTAGGTGGACAGCAACAGGTTATTAGTATGACAACAGATGTCAAGGGTAGTTATGTGGTTGGTCCTTTAGACAGTGATTTGGAGTACAATGTTGGTGCAGACAAAGAAGGTTATATCTTCAGTAAGTTGGAAAAACAAGGAAATTTTGCTGCCTTCAAATTGGCAGAGGTAGACATCACTATCTTGGGTGAAGCAAAAGAGGCTTTATCAGGTGTGCTAGTGTCTCTTAGTGGAGGATTGGACTACAGGAAGAACAGCATGACCCAGACAGATGGAAGACTTGTGTTCTCTGGCTTAAGTCCTGGGCAGTACTTCTTGAAGCCAATGATGAAAGAATACCAGTTTGAACCTCCCTCCAAGATGATAGAAGTCAAAGAAGGAGCAACTGTAAAGATGAACATCAGGTGAATATTGTAAATAAAGACCCACTAATAATATTTCTCTGCAAGTATCAATAAACGTTTTTATGACAAAATGCAATTGCAAACATGCTAACTAGATATTATGACATTTACTGTGCCCCTTAGAATTAAACCATTTGATTTTTAAACTACCATCAAGGTTTTTGCCTGTGGTTTAACTTATTTTATACAAAATAACATTGTGGTGATTAGGATTACATTATAAGTTGTTACTAATGAGTTATGACTGAAAAATCACAATCATCATATTGACAACATTGGATAAATTGTATTCTGTGAAACCAAAAGTATTGAAGAATTAAGCTTTTTTTAAGTATGTATATTTCCAAAAATTGTAGAAAAACAAGTAAGTATGAAGAATTTGAATTATTTTTTGGACCAATTTTATGTCATTCTTATTTGATGATTGCTACCAACCCAGAATGCAACATGATGAAATTATTTCAGTTTGAAAATTAACTGTCTAGCCCAAAGTGAATGAGCATGGTTATTGTAATTTTGTACACCATTAATACTTATAAATATTAATCCAAAAGAATAAATACAAGTTTCAACATCATTAAAAAAAAATCTTCAACCTGGTGAATATACATATCATAACATAGCCATGCCTGGGGATTGTACTCGGAGTTATCCTTGAATACAGTTTTATTGGTTCAGTTCTTATTGCATTATTTTAAACCTTTGCATAATATGAGAATGTTAGGTCATCATTAATGTCGAGAAAACTTACAATCCAATAAAATCCTATCTTTAGGAGTTTTAAGTTATCTGATTAGTTAACCTGTATTCATTACTGTGCTCATTACTTGTCACAATGTTAATAATTATAAGTCTTTCAAAGTATGCTCTAGCGCTATAACAGTAAATTTAAAATGTCTTTTAATGAGTGTGAAGTAAAAGATTATGTTTTTTAATGTCTACACAATATATGATTTTAAATTGTTGTATTTTGTTTAGATTTTGAGCTAACTTATGTTTAATGGTTCCTAAAGTAAAATTAAGGAGCTTTCTAGAAGATTGTCATGCTCAACTTGTTTGGAAATTGGACATTTCTCACAGTTATTGTAAGTGACAAGAATCCATCTCACTGACAAAATGCACTGAATGAATTCTTTATTAACATTTACCATAGTACATTTAACTTGTAAGATATCCTTTGCCTTATAAGATGCTTTGAAAATATTTTATACAGAATCACCAAAATATTTATGTGTAGAATGTTATATTGTTATCATACAATAACATAAAGCCACACTTGTAGCTTTAGCTTTAAGTACTAGTATGCATATACGTGTATGTGACAAAATAAAATGAGTTCATTCACACACACATTTAAATTGAAAAATATCCCTTTTTTTTCTTCTACAGTGGCAAGCGAATGGCTTTTAGCTGTTTTGGTGTTGTTAACTCATTAACGGGAGAAGCAGAACCTGGAGTTGCAGTTGAAGCTGTTGGTCATGGGAGTGATTATTGTCAGCAGTTCCAGGAAGAGGCTCTCAGTGAACAAGATGGAACCTTTAGGATTCGTGGATTGATACCAGGTTGTAATTACAGCATCTCCTTAAAAAAAGGAGCAGAGTCAAATCAACATATAGAAAGAGCTGCTCCCAAGGAGATAATTGTTAAGGTACTTCTATGTAAATACATAGGCTTGTTCATTCTCAGTTCTATCAGATCAAGGCATGAAAACAGTATAATAGAGCATGAATTAAAAACACTGTTTAATACAAAGAACCTGACATGTTTTGGCAGCCTCTGCTTACCTTCTTCAGGTACTTACATGTTTCTCTTTGTATACACTGTTAATCAAACTTGATTCCACTATTTAGGTCGGTCAACATTTTTTTAAAAATGGAATTGAAAACAACATTGTAGTCTTTAGTTATGGGCAGTTCGTGGTTCATAGAAAATTTGAAATTAAGTAATTTTCTTATGCATGTAGATTGTTAGCATTAGTAATCTGTTGTTGTGTTAATTGTTAGCTAATGTGTACACTGTTAGCAGTAATCACCTATTATCATGATGGCTGTTAATATTAATATGTACACTGCTAACAATTAATCACCTATTATCATGTTGGCTGTTAGCTAATATCTACACTGTTAGCAGTTAGTCACCTGTTGTTGCATTGACTGTTAACAGTAACGCATACACTGTTAGCAGTGAAATATTTGTGTTTAGAATGTTATATTGTTATTATACAAAATCTTAGATTGGTGAAGTTACGATAAAATAGAGACACACTTGTAGCTTTAGCCTAAAGTACTAGTCACAATAAAAAGTTAGTAGTTAGTCACCTGTTGTTGTATTGACTATTAACAGTAACTTGTACACTGTTAGTAGTTAATAGTTTAGTGAAATGGCTGTTAATTGTTAACATTCTTGCATTATGGGTGTTAAAATGTCAGTGAAAATTTGGGTGTTATGGTTATAGATACATAATAATCAGTTATGATCAGTAACTGTTGCTTTTTAATTTTTGACTGTTGCATTTATAGTTTTTAACATAAATATGTTTTTAGGATTATAACAATTATTTACGTGAAGAAATATTTTTTTATTCATAGGTTGTGACAGGTGTACAAATAAAAATGCACTTGGTAAATATGTCAGTTTGTTCACTGATAATGTCTTAACTCTGAGCTATATTAATTTTATTGTGTACTTCCACTTATTGCATAATGTATTGGATATAATAAACTGTTTAAGCTGTTTTACTTTTATCTTTTTCAACTTTAGATGGAATCTCAGGACATCACAGATCTGCGAATGATAGTATTTCGTCATTTTAATCAGATGGACATTAGTGGCAATGTTGTAACAAGTCAAGAGTACCTTTCATCACTGAAGGTGACTTCTGATTGTATATTTTCACTATTTTAGTGTAACTTGTGTCATACTATCAAAATGAATTGCTAACAAAATTAAGTTTTATGAGACAGCTGACAGAAAGATTACAATAACCTACTTTATGATTAGATTAATATCTTATTTTTCTGTAACTATTATAGAATATATCTTTTGTTCAAATGTGTTTAGGTAATTTTCTAAATTTTCCTGCAAGTATTCTGCATGTAGGTAACATCTTTCCCATAAAACAGATATACAAAGGTTTAACCACACATTAATAGGTACATGTTACAAAGTACAATGGTTTTCTCGCAGAAGCTTGTACCAGCTTGATATGTGTCTACTCCTTGAAGTAGGGTAAGCTCATTTTAAAGGGTGAGTCAGATACTTGTACAAGGTAGTAGGTGCTGAGAGATTCTCTTCCTTATATGTGTTTATATGGAATAATTGTTGATGTGGGTAATATAAAATATAATATATTGGGATATTACACTACAACCTTGGTCTGGCACATAATTGGGAAATCTTCATAATCCTCTTTTACTTCAGGTCTTATTCTGATCATGTCTACATTTAGTTTAGAAACTAACCACTTCTGCAGCTAGTAGAAGTCATATATCATGACTTGAAAGCTGACAAGCCAAGTGAAAAGCTTTCACTACTTTATTTATATGAAGAAAGGTTTTTAATTTATATAATTGTGTATTCATATTTCCGTTACTGTTCATGTTTGAAATATAGTACTCTGCATAACACTGCATTTTGGAGATACATGAACTTATCTGTCACACATCAGTGTACTTGAATACTACACAGGGATGTGGAAGTTTTGAAAGAAACTTATTTTCCAAGGAACAAAATGCTAGAAGAATCTACTAGTTTGTAACAGTGTATGTATCTTTTTCTACTCTAACAAAATTCATATGAATTTGCAGTTCAGTGTATTGACTACAGTAGTTTTCATTACAACTGACAACACTACTGGTATGACTTCTCAGGAATCAGGTTCGACTTTATCTGCAAAGGAAGTAGAGGCCTTAGTTCGAAGGGAGCTAGATTCATATGTTTGGCTGTTGATTTCTTCTCCTTTTCAATTTGACAATTGCTGAGGAAGAATACACTCAAGGAGAAGAGAATTTGGACACTATTTTTCTAGCACCTTCTTATTTTGGTCTATCATACTATATATATCTCTTCGGGAGATTTCACCTTCCACACCTTTTTGTATAGCTGGTTATTCAGGTTGACATTTGATGCCTGTATGTTCAAGGCAAGGGTTATTTTGCTAGTTTTCTTTTTCCTGCTCCTGTTGCTGTGCCTCCATGTCGTTCACTTTGGTGGAGGTTTGTTTTTCTCCTCCTTTCTTTCCATTGCTTCCAGATCTCCCAGTGAATTGGTGGTAAGTTTTTTTACTTGTTTACTTCACACTTGGATGCGATATCCATGGTAAGCTCAGCTCAGGTGCCCTTTGTGTGGCTTTGTCCTTCTTTATACAGGGGAGAACTAAGTATTTCACATCATCAGTACTCATAGATAATTTTAGTCTTTTTACACATTCGTTATTATTACATACTCTGTATACTAGGTAAATTTTAATGGTTTGTCAATTTGATATTAATGAGTACATTGTTAACTAAGTATGTTTAGATAGTTTGTACTTTACATTATCATTCCTATTTGATATTAATGAGTACGTTGTTAACTAGGTATGTTTAGATAGTTTGTACTTTACATTATCATTCCTATTTGATATTAATGAGTACGTTGTTAACTAGGTATGTTTAGATAGTTTGTACTTTACATTATCATTCCTACTAGTAACATCTAATTCATTTTTCTTTCTGAATATTTTTTTTCTCATCATTGTTAAATATGTACCTTTTTATCCTAATTTTTGTCAGTGTAGAACTTAATTCATTTGCATTGCTACATTGCTGATGTGTTTCTTTGTTTCCCATTCATAGGGCTGAGCTTTGCTCCAATTGCATTTCCTACATTCTTGATACTAGATTCCAATTTTTCTCCTTGTACCCTACATTTCAGGAATCATCCCCACAGTACCCACATCGTCGATAATTATTTTTAGCTAGAATTTGAGTGTTCCAGTTTAGGACCCTATCATTTATATTAACCTTGACTCCTTATGTATTTTGTCGAGTAGTAAGAACTTTTGGCCGACATCCTTACTCAATTGGTCTTTGCACTCATCATTACATGAATGACTGGCTCCTGCTCGCATTTTCCCATTCACAGTCCAGAGACCACACTTGTCTGCTCCTACAAGAAGCAGCATGGGTGGGATTCCTGATAAAGGTGGAGAAGTTTGTTCTTACCCCCACTCAGTACCTTGTTCATTTAGTGTCTTTCTTCAATTCCATCCTCTTCTTAATCTTTGGGATAGAGCAGGCAGGCCACAAGGCCCTTACCTCACATTCTCTCACAGCTCAAGAGGTATTACCTCTTTTAGAAATGTGGGCTTCCTTGGAAGATCCATAAGACCTTCTTCCATGTCCATTTACCAAAGGTGATGGTCTATCTTCTACTTTTTGTTTCTTTGATTCTGTTCCTCATCTTTCTCACTTCTTTACCTGGTTGTTTGACAAAAGCTTGTCCACCTTGACTGTGCTAGCTATAGGCCAGTCTTGTCAAACACCTGTTTCTCCAAGTTTCTTGTCTTCCTTGTCATTTCCCTCTTCCACTTCTTTCATGTGTCCTCCATATTCCTTTGTTTTGCTTGATTGGGATCTCAATATGGTCCTTTATGCCCTTTCATATTCTCCCTTTGTCAACATGTTCCATATACTATCTCTCCCTCAAGACCAATTTCTTTCTCCTCACTTGTGAACATTGTCATTCAGATACTTATGCCTTTAATGTTACTAGAATCCTCTATCATTCCACTTATGTCATCTGATCTCCAGACTGGTCCTCCCTTCCTAAGATCTATGCTGTCTGTGAAGGCTGTTTGGCTTTCACATCCTTTTCCTTACCTTCCATCTCCCACCTGTACTCCCATTCTGATCCAGATTGTTATCTCTGTCTGGTTGTGCATTGTTGCCCAATGAAGGCTCCAATAAGAGGGCCGAAAGCTCTCAATAAAAGTATTCTAACGTAGAGAAAAGTCTGTTTTGTAGGTCTACAAATGTTTATGCTCTTACTTTGAAATGGGAAATATACTGTTTATCACAATAGCAATACATATTGTTCTGTCTATGATTTAAGATTTTTATTGAAGGTACAAATTATTCATCCTACATTGTTTTGATTGTACTCTCTGTCAATTTTATAACAGGATTTGCTAATTGGTTTTCTATTAGAAAGTACGTTTAATAGACATTTTTGCTGTCAAACTTGATTTTACAGTATCAAAGTGTTTTACTGTTAAGTCTTGTTTGTTTATTTACAGATAAAATTGTACCAAGAAGACAACCTTGACCAGGCCATATATACATTTACTTTAGGGCAGAGTAGTTTTTTTCAGCTGCCTGCTCTACCCTTGGATAACCGTATATATATACTTCGACTGGACTCCTCTCTTCCACCTAGCACATTTCATGTGGATTCTCCATCAATTTCATTCCGTGCTAATACATCTTACAGACACATGACATTCCATTTCAGTCCTCAACCACGGTCTCTGGAGCATGAGATGACACAGGGCTCAATTCTAGCCCTTCCACTGACCATTGTGATTGCTGTTTTGATATATAACTATTCTAAGGTGTTGCCCTTACTTGGCCAGGGTGTGGAACTAATGCAGGCATTGGTCAATCCAGCTAAAGCTGCTACTGTTTCTAGTGCAGTCACAAACAGTGAGAACTTATCCAGTGAACCTATATCTGGAAGGAAAAAAGTTAAACCTAAGAAAATTTAGCTTTCAAATATTAGAAATAGTTAATGGTAATATGTTTTACATTCAGAAGTTCAAGAAGTACAGTGTAAATGGTATCAAGTAAATTTATACAAATGGTGAATGCTCAGATCTTGTGAGCTTGGATTTTCAAAATAATTGGAAGTAATATTACATGGGGAATTGTGTGGAACTGCTTGTATTTTATATTTCTTCTAAGTATGGGTTGTGAGCAATTTGAGTGTACTTGATAACCATATTTTATTGAGTAGTATTGGAAGAAAATGTTGAACAGCTAGTGATCCACTATATCAGTACCTTTTCATCGGTTATTGAAATTTATAGGAAAAATAGTAATTGCCAAGTTTCCTTACTACCGTAGCAAATGAAATTGTAGTATCTCTAGAAGATTAAAAGTCCTGAATTAATTACTATTCAAAAATTAAATTTCTGTTTTCTGGATAGTATTAAAAGGTGTATACACATTTTCAACATTTGTAAGTGTTGTAAGAATAGATTTGATCTTGTCATCATATTTCGATAAACGGACATGAGTAATTTGATATATCTACCTGTAGTAATGTGAATCTAATTATAAACAATTTTACTAATTATTAGTTATCATGGTTAGTTGATAAAACTTTGATGCTAATGTTTTTGTTAATGTTGAAGTCAATAAAAATTTTTCTTTCTTAACTTAAACTACTCCTTTAGTATTAAACCAACTAATTTCATTGTGAGTTGAAATTATGATACAAAATCAGCTTTTCAATACATGTAAGCTTGGTGATTTTAAACAAAATGGCAATCTTTTAGTAAACGCAACCACGTTATTTTTTGAATTATTTTATATTTGTATAATTTATGCAGTCCTCTCATGTAAATAAAAACCTCATTAATGGAATACATTTGGATGAGTTGATTATACAACTGCATATTAACTAAAAATGTCTTACCAACAGAATAAGATGGCAGATTTGTTATTGTTACTGTTGTATTGATTCTTAGAATTTTGATATTTGTTTTCCATGTGTTTTAATCACACTTGTTTTCATTTCCTTTACTGGGGACACTAATTGTTGGACAAGTTTTACTTTTAAGTGATGTTTTTGAAATTGCATTCATGTTCCAGTTTGCTCTGTTTTATAGCTCTGAAATAAATGGAGATATGTGGCAGCCATCACAATACCAAAATATGTAAAGCTTTACTTATGTTTATAAATGAAATATAAACTAAACCACTGAAAAACAAGTAAAATTAAAATGAGCATCAGAAAGTGGCCTTTTAAGCATTACTTGCACATAATTACAATTGAACCAGTGATGTGTTAAGAGTTATAAATACCAGTCTGCCATGCTGAAACAAGACTAGCTCTAATGCTATTTAAAGTATTCAGGAATACTTATTGACGGAAACTTGCAGTATTTTGACTTTATCGTTTTCTTTGTTTTCAATTTTATGGAATTTTTATTCAAAATATATTTGAAGATTTTTCAAAATATGACTTGTGAGAAAAGTAGAAAGACTATGTTACGTATTACAATTTTAAATGATCTGAAACCAAGCTAAATGATAATTTAAGTTTAGTAGTTAAATGTATATGCCGATATTTCTTCAATTTATGATATTTGCCAACAAGATTGAAACACAAAGTTTTTCTTTTTTAATACAAATATATTTTAATATACAAAC